CACCTCTCACTAGAAACCAGGCTAACCTTCTTTAGCTCCACCCAGAAATCCAGCTGACCCTCCATCTGTTTCACAACTATACAGTATAACCAGGTTAGCCCGATATGGCCCCAGTTTAGTAAGGCCAGCTAGACCAATCAGGCCCTCTGTTACTGTGGAAACCAAGCTAATGTATAAGCAAGGCCACCTACTTAGCTCTGATCCTGAAACCAGACAACACCTCTGTCTGTGGTTTAGCCTGGCTCGGGGGGGGTGGGGGGTGCATTTGGCCCCATTTAATTCTTCTGCTGATGGGTTTTGTGTAGATAACACTGGCCCTGTAACAAGAACCATGCCAGCCCAGTTTGACCCTGTTTATAGTATTGGGTGACCTGGGTTGGCCTTGGTAAGTAGATCAGGATAGCCTTGTTTGCCTCAGCTTCTGTTCTGCGTTGACTAGAAACTAGACTAAACCGACTACCCCTCTTTAGCAAAGCAGACATGTCTTATTTTTTCCATATTCAGAGCAACATTAGTCCTCCATAAAAAATATACCCACTCATTGATCCATCCAATGAGGTCACTGTGTTGACACAGCAGGGGTCCTGATTCAGAAGACTCCAACAACAATATCATCCAGTAAATTACAGCACTGAGGCTGGAGTACTTGTAAGGATTATCTTCAGATTTGTGAGATGTGCTCTTCCTGGTCCTGTCTGGCCCTTCCTGGCCCTGCTTGACCCTGCTTGACCCTGCTTGACCCTGCTTGACCCTGCTTGACCCTGCTTGACCCTGCTTGACCCTGCAGGTGGCAGGCTACCCGAGTGTGTTTCAGTGCAGCAGGTAACAGCAGCCATAAAGTTGAAGGAAGCAGGCTGTTTAATGGTGTAATAACATTATGTGTTGTTATGGCCATCAGAGGGGACATTAGCCCGCAGGTGTTAGCTAGCTGAGACTCAGAGCGGCCTGTTGCCTCAGGGGGGTGGAGCCTCAGGACGTAATAAAGGTAATGTGAGTCATAATGAAGCCCAGCGGCCTCAACAACACTAATAAAACACACTAATGCCTTTGAAAACAATCTTATCAACTCCTGCTGTGCTTCTTCTCCTCTCTGTTCCTGCACACTCAGCTTTTCATCCGTCCTTCCTCTTCCTCCCACACCTCTCTTACATCTTACTGCTTTCAAGCAAATTCACCTCAGGGTCCTTCTTACTCCTGCTACTGTCAAGAGATTCACTGATGCCACTGCCATTCGCAAGTCCTGTCATCCAACCTGCATGAAAATCTGAACAAACATGTTTATCACCAAAACAAAATACGCTATTCAGAGAACCATCAGTGTCTGATCAGAGCAGATGTATACTGTGTGCAAGAGCTGAATTGTTTAGTTGATCAAAAGAAAAGTAATCTATGACAATTCTAATAACAGAATCATCATTAGAAAGCAAAAATGACAAAGATTTGCTGGTTCAAATATGAAAACAAATCTGCTTTACTCTGTCATGAATGAAAGTAAACAAAAACAATGATACCATGAGCTGTGGGAACCTGTGATGGGCATTTTAAGTTCATTTTCTGACATTTAAGACCAAATAATTAATAGAGTAATAATTTTTCATACTAATCAATGGAAATAATCATTATTTTCAGCCCCACTGTCAAATGCAACATGACATTCAAGATAACTATAGTTCACCACAGTTCCAGGTGGGAACTGGGTCAAACAGATCTCCTCTCAGGTAACTCTACACATCCACTACAGCTCAGGTCACCGTTACACACCACAGGCTGTAGTGAAGCCGTAGCCACGGTTACGTGACGTGACACAGTTACACTGTAAAAGCTGCAGGGGATCTCACCTGAGCTCAGTGACATCATTTAGGTTCCAGTTACACTGCAGCCATCCCTCTCAGAGTCCATACAGGACGTGACCTGTGCACACAGCACAGTGAACCAAGGGCCACAGCAGCTGGAAAGATGAGGCCACTCCGCGCGCACAATAGTCCTCTAACACATGAACACCCGAAACCAACCAGTACCTACGTAAACTAGAATACTAATCTGCTCCAGGTTTGCTGTTCATTATATTATATACAGTAATGCGTTATATGTGTATATAAAATACATCAATACAATACAAAATCTACAAATGCCAGATGAACAATTTCAGTTTTCAATATGCATCAGCGGCTCACTGCCAAACAATTGTAATGTTACAGTTAAATCAAAGCTTATCATTAAGTAGCTGAAACACAGATTGGTGGTCTGGCAGTTGTTGTTTTATTGCTTCTGGGGGAATTAATCCAGCTTTGGCAGCTACTACAACTCTGAGGGCCCCATCGCTTCATGTGCAACTGTTTTTGCTAGTTTCAGCCAGACTGAGTTGTCATTTTCAAATACACTTGCGCCCATTTGAGCACCCATGGGTGCGTTGGTCTTAAAATGAGGTGTAGTCAGGCACATTGTCAGTGCATTGTTGTCTGGAGGCAGGAGAGAGCAGAAGTCTGTGGCCCCGTATTTCACTGTTATGTTATGGGTGAAGGGGGAGGTGGGGGTGCTGTCTAACTCTTTAGGTCTGCCTTGTGTTCATTTACAAGAAAAGAAAAGAAGAAAAACAGAAAACGGCTCTCAAACGGGAGCTGGCTCCCATCGTTCACTTAAAAGAGCCGGCTCATTCGTGACCGACACATCACTAATACGTACCTTCACTGCTCTGCTGACCGGCAGCGTAGAGCGTCAAACACATGGCACTCCTGATATTTAATGCAGTAATATGTCAACAAATGTTTCAGCATGTTGCTGGTGTTGACACCATTGCTTGAAATCTTAGTGCCACAGACACTGTACGTTTTGCTGTTAGCGTCATTTTGTGTGAAATTAAGACACAATTCCTCGACTCCTTCGTTGGTGTTCGCGCTGACTGCCTCTCACAAAAGTGTGATGTCATTGTTCTGCAAGGCGCACGGAACTAAGTGGAAGGCATCGATAAGGGAATCGTTAAGCATAAAGGCAAATGATGTTGATGGATTGAACCAGTTGGAACCGATTCCCATTCCTAATATACCAATAGCAGCGTACCTAACTTCAATGCCACGGTTACTATAATAACAGTCATGGCTTGGTTAGGTTTAGGAAAAGATTGTGATTTGGGTTAAAATTTGTGCTTCCCCAACATTAGATGATCTTTGTTGTCATGGTTACAATAATAACAGCTACTTTCACATGGGAATGGAACTCCGCTCTCCTGTGTCATATTCATCCATCCACCACAACCTCCTCCTGACGTGGACTTTGTCTCTCTTTACACTACGTCACCACACTTTTCCTTTTGCTTCTGTCAGAAATACTACGACCACTAGTTGTCGCCTAGCAACAAAACGTAACAACCTGCTGCACAGACGACCTGTGGGCTCAGTCTCATACAAATAATCTACTAGCTGGTTGGTCATTTGAGTTATTAGCTAACAAGGTGAAATAAATAAAAACACTCGCAACACTGATGTAAGTCGAAGCCGTGAACAGTGTGATTTCAGTGATCAAAGTGTTTGTTTAAGGATCCACCAGACATCACATGAACTCACAGACTCCAACACTCCGACATGTTTGTCTCCTGGGTTCAGGCGTGGCAGAGGATCAGTGTGCCGTCAGGCGCCCAGAACAGGTCAGAGCGTTGTTGCGCTGTCACTGGGTGGAGAAACAGTTGCACCACTGCGACACATTCCTACAGTAATTGTTGTTCCAGTCACAACAGCACGAAGCCTGAAGACACAATCAGTGTAACCAAACAGCATCTGTTAGTCTTTGTTTATAGGATGAGGTAGATAAAGAGGAGCTGGGTTCAGAGGGGGAGTAAAGAATCAATGGAAATTCAGTGTTTCGCCTAGAATGTTGTTCAGCAGCGGCGCTGTTGTGCCAGTGTCCATGAGGATGCGACGCCGGCCTGTATTCTTAATTTACAGCCTTTGACATTTATCTGTAGAATTATCATTTATAAAATATCATTATTATTATTCATAATATATTATTATAATAATCATTTATCTGTCCTCCTTGCTGCTCTCTTGCTTCTCTTTCCTCCCTCACCTGCCCGACAGGTCTTTTTTTCTGCAACACACTTCGTTCTAAAAATAAAAGAAAACCATCATAACAAGTTTGATAAATCTGGGGAAACACACAATCAACACCTCTTTACCTCTTTACTCTGAATTTACCCTCAGAGGAGAGGAGGAAACTTCACTACTTTCATAAAGAGTAGAATTGACTCCTCCACCATCTCCCCCAGATCACCATGCTCAATACTTGTCATTGTAACCACGGCAACAGAGGGACACAAGAACACTATATGCACACAATCACACACCTCTCTAAACTCATATCCTGGGGGCACACAGGACAATGGATACACTCTTGACAGCCCGGTGTCAATGAATGACTCTCTCTCTCTCTCTCTCTCACACACACACACTTCTATCTTTATCAGTACACTCACTAACATAGTACTAATGCATTACATAGCCCCCCTGGCCCCGTACTCCAACCTCAACCATCACAGCTTAAACCAAGTCTTAACCTTAAACAGCAATTTTAAAGTGAGGACCAGCAAACATGTCCCCATTCCCAAGGTCTACACTCAAACTGGTGCTCACAAAGATAGAAGTACACACACACACACACACACACACACACACACACACACACACACACACACAGCAGTCCAATTACAAAAAACCGGTTCTTGAACTGTACACAGTGTAAATTACCAACCTCACGGTCTCACATTAGACAACATGTTTCCTGAAACAACATGTGCTACAGGGAAAAGCAGCATGGGAGTTTCGGTGTGTGACATTTGAAACTTGTTTTCATAGACAAAACAACTCAAACAGGCCATGCAGACAACACACACCAAACACATGCACGCAAACCGGAAAACAAACTGAAAGCAAGTCGAAACTGTGTGTAAACCAGGAGGAGCGGCAGCGAACGTGACCTAATTAACGTCTGAATGATGGTTGACTTACCCGCTGGTGGATGAGCTCATCCCGGGAAACTTGGAAATGTGAAAACACGTCCGAACAGGTGGGAAAAAGCAGTTCAAACACTCATGTCCACTTCCGGTGACTCAGGTGAGGTTTCGAGCTGTTGATCGGCTGATTCAAGCTGAGAGATAAAAACTCACCTGCAGGAGAATTACCTGAAACCTGCAGCAGGAAAAACAGAGAGAGGAGAGCAGCGGGTAACACGAGCCTACCTGCTGCAGGTAGTTTAGAGGCCACACCTTCTCTGAACCTGTCCGTGCGCGCGCGCGGACACACTTGCAGCTGCACACGTGCATCACGCTCCTGTGGCTCGGTGATTTTATCTGTGTACCACTTCCGCCAATGTGTCCTAGTCCCCCCTTTCACACAGAATACAGAGGAATACACTTTAATTTCACTTATTTATTTATATACTGAAATGTATTTATTCTTTGGTTTATTTGTGGTTTAATGATTCCTCAAACTGCGTCCATATAAACACGAGTGAAGGAGGCATTCAAAGGGAGATCATTTTGGAATGGGATGCAGCCCTGCTGGCCTGCCAGTCATCAAACCATAAACAGATAAAACTCCACCATCCATGTCAGTGCTGTAAACATGTGGATTAATTTTTAATTAGAAAACACACTGACTCCAACACACGTCCTAATACAGTACTCATCATTATAGCAATAATGATCAACCTTATTCATACATTTCAAATCCTTAGAAGGAAAATTCAGGACAAAAAAAAACAACATAACAATAGAATCAAATAGAGTAACAGTAAAATGAGATAAGGGTGAAACAAGTAAAATGGGTGAACATATTAGAAGTGAAATCATAAAATGTAATTCAGAAAATGCCATGTCAGATTAGGGACAGCCTGCAGGTCAGAGGTCAAATGTCTCCCAGTCAGAGGTGGACAAAGTACAGAACTCTATTACTTTAGTCAAATATTACTTCAATACAATAAATGTTAACTTGAGTTAGAGTACTGGAGTACTTTTAAAAATATGATAATGAAAATAATAATAATAATAATAATAAAGTGCGTGAGTGTGTGTGAGTGTGTGTGTGTGTGTGTGTGTGTGTGTGTGTGTGTGTGTGTGTGTGTGTGTGTGTGTGTGTGTATGTGTGTGTGTCAAACAGACAGTAGAACGTGTAGTGGAGTAAAAGTCAGAAGTTTACAAAAAAAGTCTTCTCAAAAAATATAACATGCAATGTAACATAATGCAGTTGGTTACTGTGCACCCTGCTCCCAACAGAAGAACTGTTGAATTCTCTAAAAATGTATACTGATTTACATTTTTCATGTTTTATTCATTCAGTCAGTTGTTAAACTTGTGTTTGTGGTTTAGTCTTCCAGCTTTACTGAAGTATTAGTATCTGAGTCTCTTGGCATCTCTACTGCTTTAATTCAATTTTATTGATTTATACAGTCTGACATCACAAATCACTATTTTGCCTCTGGGGTTTTAAGATCTGTACAGTACACCTTCAATCTTAGACCCTCAGATCAGATAACCACTGAACCACTTCTCCTGAACCACCAGAGAGCCACATGTCATCTGAAGTTTTATTTCTACAGCCAAAAATCACAGTCGTGTCTCCAGGATCAAAGACCTGACATACCTTCAGTCACCCGCGGGTCCAGAAAGGTCCCAGTTAGGACTCACACATTAACCCAGTCTGTTCACCACACTGCCAATTAATACAGCTCTGCTCTCTAAACTCTATAAAGTGTCTGATGGAGGATTTTCCATGTTTTATTCATTCAGTTAGTTTAACTGTGTTTCCTCTGGAACTCATAAACTCCAGACAACAAATTAAACTGTCTCAGAACTTGATTTGAATTATTACAGTTTTATGTTCCGATATAAAGTTCATCGACTGTAAATAAAGATGGACAGCTTCTGTGACGTCACCCACAGGTTTCTGAAGAGCGGCTTTGAAGCTCAGAGTGAGCTGCTCCATTGTCACTATTTTGGCAGTGTCTGACTCCGCCCCTAACTCCCCGCTAATCCAAAAATGGACAGAGAGGAGGAGCGTGTGTGGAGCCAACACTTCGGTGCATGTCGGTTTGTGGCATGTATAAACTCCCCCACCTGTCACTCAAAAAGGCCACGCCTTCAATTACACACAACTTTAGGCCTTAACAAAATGTAAACAGGTGAGTTATACAGCGATAAGCCATAACATTATGACCACTGACAGGTGAAGTGAATAACATTGATTAACACTTGTGTTGGCTTCATTTTTCAGGTGATACAGATAAAGATCAACATTCTGTTCCAAAGCCCTCTCCACACTGACAGGGATTAATTTAGGCTGTTAAACCTGTATGATATCATGACCTCAGTGTTAACCCTGAACCTGGAGCAGCTCATTTTATTAATTACACCTGCCACATGTCAAAATGTCTGCTGTGAAAAAAGCTGCATCGTGGTCTTTTATGCAAACTGAAGGTATGATATTGTCTTCTGGTTTAACCATGACTATAAAGAGTTGCAATAATCCTGATATAGAAATGTAGGAGTGTGTATAACTTCTGTCAGCATGAGAATAGAAGGACCAGATGTTCCAGCTGACGGAAACACAGCTGGAAAACTCATGTGACTTGTTTGTTAAGATGATTTCACCGTCAAAAATGACAGCTGAGTTTCAAGTAGCAGGTTTGAACTTATTAAAACAAATAGATACAATATCACTGAAACAGTCATGAGGAGAGGTTGATGAGGTTTCCTCTCTGTACCTCTCTGCTCGGTTGGGAGTCACATTTCAAAATACTACCTGACACCTCCAGCTGTCACACTGCTGCTGAGCCCTCACTGTGTAACAGATACGTCCTTGAGAGGTGCCATCAGGGATCCAACAAGATGGCTGAAATACAAAACAGAGGACTGAAATGTGCTGACACTGACAGTAGAAAAAAACTACACTTGCACATTATGATGTTATCTCATATTGATTTTATGTGTTTTACATATCTGCATAAAATGAAATAGCATAAATGACAAAAAAAATAGCTGTGTCCCAATTCAGGGGCTGCACCTTTCGGAGAGTCCATCCTAAACCTGGCCCACGGAGGATTCCTGCTTTTGCATTATCAGCTGTGATCCTGAGGCTCTCTGTCCGAGTTGTTTGCTGCCATATTATTTTCTTTACAGGCGAACATGCTCAATACTGCTCACATGCACATGCACACATTACAAACACATTAATCAAATGAATTCCTGGTTTTTATACATATGTGTGACACACGTGGGTCATTAGCATATATGCAGATGAGTTCACGCACACACTCCTCTATAGACTGGTGCAGTGAGTTTATCTCTATGCAATATGTAAATGGGGCCTGGTATTGTGGGACAGTTACGTAAGCATCATATTTCAAAAATCTTTAGCAGCAAATTACAGAAGCTGCTGGTTGTATGGCTATTTACAGCCACGCTGAGCGACGCGCTGCCGAGACAATCGCACCAAGACAATGTGCTGGATTTATGGCTGCGAGTAAAGAGGGAATTTAACACTGAACACAGGCCAAGGAGCTGGTGAATTTGGGCAGACGACTGCTTAGTTCATCACTTCCACCAGTCATTTGGAAGAGTGTGTGTCTGTTTGTAATGATCCACAGTAGATCTCAATCACAGCTAGTGAGGCCAGCTCTCCTGCTCTCTGCTGTACACTGGAAACTACTGTATTTTGACTCCTGAGTCAGTCACTTCCTGTGTGGATCTGATGTTCCACCAGATTCCAAGTGGACAGCAGAATTTCATTTGGATGAAGGGAGAAACCAAATCTTATTTTGGATGGGACACTCTGCTCTGCTTTCTGATATTGGCCTGGACCAGCTGTTTACATAAATGTCTTGCCAAGTGCAGCTTTAAGTAGCCATCGAGTTGAGTAGATGACGCTGTCTCACACTCTGTCTGGCTGACCTTCAGCTGGTGCTGGCGATAATTCATGGATCTCTGAGGAATTCTGTTTGACTATGTTTGATGTGCTCATTTCTGATTCTCAGTTTTGGATTTAGCAGCTAATAAACTCTAAAAGAATTGTTGAATGAACTAATTAGGAGAAATTCTGTTGTGAATCTCTATTAGTACGTCAGCCTCACAGCTTTTACTGAGGACATTAAGGAAACATCAGTTGTACATGTCTGTCTTTCTCCACATGGAGAACAGACAAACTGTCTGTTTGTCAGGTCTTAATGTGTCCCTCTAGTCAGACATGTCTTTTACTTGTTGCTGCTTCAGGTGGGTATTTGAGCCTCTCTGAGCAGAGTGATGTGTGCAGAGGGTTTCTCTGCACTCACCTTAAAATATCACTTTCAGATGAGTATGTAGGGGCACCATTTTGTGACATCACAGCTATTTCATAAGCTGGTCTTGTGTCTAGGGTTGCAACCTTTTATATATGAAAAACTGGGAGACTTAAACAATCAATCCATCTGTTTTTTTTTCACATTTTTTGGGGGCATTTTTTTTTATTTTATTTGATAGGACAGTAGAAGTTGACAGAAAATGCAGGGACAGAGAGCAGCAAAGAGTCAGCCAGGCAGGGAGTCAAACCAGGAACTCACTGCTCAGGAAATCTGCAGCCATTTAGTGTGCACTCTAACCACTTGGCTGTCGGGCTATCACAGGGTTGAGGACGTGGGTGGGTGGCAGTTACTGGGTAATAAAGTAAATTGGGCACTGTTGTACCTGTTTTCATACGTTTACAGACACAGGATTGGACATAACCAAGAAAAAAAAACAGAAAAGTAGTTGAAGGAATGAGGAATCAGTTTCTTTTTGAGACTATGAAATCCTGCAGTAGAAGTGCATTTTCACAAAAACTGGGACGATGCGTTTCCCAGGAAACAATATTCATTTTCCGGGACAGTCGCTCAAAAAAGAACAATCCTGGGAAAACCGGGATGGGTGGCGGGAGCTCGGAGTTGAGCTGCTGCTCCTTCACTTCAAAAGGAGCCAGTTGAGGTGATTCAAGAATCTGATGAGGATCCTCCTGGGCCCCTCCTGCTGAAGGTCTTCCAAGTGCGTCCAATTGGTAGGAGACCCCCGGGT